TTTTACTTTCTATCTATTCTACAAGCGGAACAAATCCAAGTTTTCCAAATGGAAAAGGACTCAATAGTCACGACAAAAACTGTTATTTTATTCTAATAATAAGAACGGTTGTTTTTAATTGTTGAATAATTTTTTAATGATTAAATTTATGCGTGTTTATATTAATAATTTATAACGCGCGATATAAAACTGTTCATACTCATAAATTTTAACGTTTAAAAACTAATCTAATAGTCAAAATACAGTTCCTATTAGTAATAGAGGTGTCAAACGTGTCATGCTGGGCCGGCACGGTACGTCCAACATTAGGCCCATCAAAGGCCTGGGCCGGGCCTAGCACGGCCCTGCACAGTGTAGGGCCGTGCTTAGGCCGGGCCTGAGAAGAAAAACTCAGGCCCGGTCCAGGCCCTTGGCCCTAGTCTATAAGGGTCAGGGCCGGGCCTGGGCCTAGGCCCTTGTATTTTTTTTAAATTTAATTTAAAAAAGTATATCATATGCCCCAAAAGATGTGATTTTATTGAATTGACATAATATGAATAAGTACACATAAATGACCGCCTCGTTAAAAACCTTGCTAAGTAAAACCCGTGGGAAGATCGGCACAAAACCTTAGCGAAGGAAAAAAGAGTTCAGTAGCTAGGAATAGTAAATTACAAACCTAAGTGCTTCCAGAAGATTCTGTTATTTCTAAGTTAGAAAAATATTCTTGCATTGAATCATCTGTGTATTGTTTTTTTTTTGTCTTCTGGCATCTTCTCAGTCTTTAACGCACATTAGCCCCTCCAAGATATCTGGATGCAGTCTGCTTCTCTTTTCGTCAAGAATTCGGTTGCTTGCGCTAAAAGCTTGCTCCGATACTACCGTTGACACTGGAGTTGTTAAAATGTCACGAGCTATTATGGACAGTTTTGGAAAACGATCGGTCTTGCTCTTCCACCACTATAAGATGTCTAGTTTGTCGTCATCGATTACAAAATTTGCTTCAAAATATTTTACTAGTTCGGTAGACACTTGTGTTGATGACGATCCTGCTGTTTTCTCTTTCTTCTTTAAGAAACTCCACGACGATCCTTTAGGCCCCGAACTGCTAGTTGACGTCGAAGTTCCCTATTCTTTTTGACATGTGCCGTATTTTACTTCATACAAACTAAAAACATTTTCTAACATTTTCTGAGCGTCAGTAATAGTTAGTTGCATATCTATTTCTAAATTCTCTCTGGTAGCAGTCATCAATGATTCAGTTCCATCTACTCCGCACCTAAGATCTAAAATGGTTGCCGATGCATATAACATAGAACAACCTGACCAATAACTTTTAAATTTATTTTCCATTAACTTAACTATATTTCCAAAAAGTTATGTATCCCTATAATAAGAAAATATTTTTAAAATATTAAATAGTTGATGTAAAGCTAAATGTGCAGTAGGATAATAAACTCCAGAAAGTAATTCAGTAGCATTATAAAAAACTTCTAGAAATTTAAAAAAATACTCAGCAATCTGCAAATTAGGATCGAAAATTAAAATTTGATCGTTTTTACTGTTTACGTATGTCGTGATAAGCTGTGGATACGGGAGTGCTGCCTTCAACATTAAATATGTTGAATTCCACCTATGTCTCACGTTAGTTAGAAACTTTCTTCGGTGCATATCACTATTCCTGCAATATTGTTTGAATTCTTAGAGCCCAGCTCTAGAACTAGATATAAATGAAAATGATTCTCTAATATTTGTAAGATTAGCTCAAATATATTCAATTCCTGACTGAACTACTAAATTAATTATGTGACATGCACACAGTTGATGAAAAATTTCACCTCCAAATGCTGGTTTCAAACTACGTTTAAACATGTTAATTGCAACTGTACTAGCTGACGCATTATCAAAAGTAATTGTTAAAACTTTATCTTCTATCCCATAAAACCCAAAAATTTTCATTATTGTACTAAAAATAGATGATGCGCTATGAGGATATGGACATAAATGAAAACCAATTATTCTTTTTTGTAAAACCCAATCGTCATCAACTTAGTGCGCTGTGACGCATAAATATCCAGTTTTATTGCACCCATCCCACAGATCAGAAGTGCAAGAGACAGTAGCATTAAAAGTCCTAAAATTATCAACAAGAGATTGTCTCATTGCATAAAACACTTTCATGCAATCAAAATAAGTTGTGTTTCTACTTACCTGTTTAAGTTGTGGGCAGAAGGCTGTCTGGATGAATTCTTCGAACGACGCATCATCTGCAAAAGAAAGAGGCAATTCGGCACTAGCTAGAAATTTAGCTAGTGCCTCACGAGCACGTTGTGCATCGTATGTAAAATTTTATAACCCCTGTGATGTGAGTGATAGTGTTTGTTAGCGGGAGTCCACACTCCCACCTTGGTGCAACGGTAGATATACTTTCCAATGTCTATCCAGATGACCAGTACCCCCACCGTTTTTGTTAGAAAAGTTTTTTTTACAATATTTACATACCGCACGAATTTCCATCTCACCTGTTTTTGGATTTGGTCGGACCTCCTTGGTGAAATGCTACCATGCCGGAGAAGTTCGCGGTCTTTTTCCTCTGCTGCATTCTCCAGCTTCCTCATTGTACACTGAAGCATTATCCACCGGAGCATTTTCTGGTTCAGTGGGGGTGGGGTGGAGGCATCATTTCTTCCTCAAAAAATGCCGCATCACCAAGCTCGAGAAGAGCAGTGAAATCAGGGAAGTTTGGTGCGGCCATTTTCTGGAAATTGATAGAACTTGATTGAACTTTGTAAATGAAAGAGCAAGAAAATGAATGAACGCGAGAAAAAAGCGTAGAATCAAAATCAAAGAGACAAGTTGAGAGATAGAATGAGAGTGAGATGAGAAGTTGAGAGTGAATTATTGTGTTGTATTTAGGGTGAAATTAAGGGGTATTTATAGGAAATTTTTGGGTGGATTTTTGGATTCTTACCGTTGGGCCCTTCGCGAGCCCAATGGGCGGCCCGTGATAGGCCTAACGGGAGGCCCGTCATGTGCCAAATAGGAGGCACGTGACGGGCCAAACGGGAGGCCCGTCACGTGCCGCCCGTTGGGCCTGTGAAGGGCCCACTGGAGCATTTGAAATGGGATGTTTCATGGGCCGTTTCGCGGGCTTGGGCCCGGCCGAACAAGGACCGAATCAGGGCTTCGGCCGGGCCGAACATGGGCCGTGCCGCGGGCCTCCACGGGCTGAGAAGCTGAGGCCCAGCCCTAGCCTATTACACGTGCCGGGCCGGCACGGCCCGTAACAGTAGCGAATCGGGCCGTGCTGAATCCGGCACTATTACGGGTTGGGTCGGGCCGTCCATCAGTAAGGTGAAAATTCTTATTAAATGATGAATTTAATTTGTCAAATTTAAAATAGGAAGTTAACTATGTATATGTCTGACATTTTTAATTTCAATTTAACATATAATGCCTCGGTTTTTTTTTTTTTTTCTTTTTCCTTTTAAAGAAAAAACGTACAAAATCCTTATTAGAAGAATCTTCAAGAAGAGCGAACTTTGTGGATAGTTTATTATTGTCCAAAATTAAATTATGTGTTAGTTGTCTTAAAGCAGACTTCAAAAAGGTTAGGTAGAAATATGCAAGTAGCGGCGAGTCCCATCCGTTTCCTTTAGACATTTTTTATGTCAACAATATGGCGTAGGCCTACTTCACAGATATATATATATATATATATATATATATATGCATGGCGTATGCCCTTTTAACTCGCAAGTAAAGGCACGCATTAGAAAATCCCGTAGCATATTGCAAAAATTTATATGATTATGTTGACCAAAACGTTTATTTACAACTAATAGATACAAATTTTTAACTCCTCGACTTCGAATAAGGTTCAACAATAGCCGTATTTGACAACCAAAAAGAAAGAAGAAAAGTATTTAAAAAGGATTAGATAAACTAGTCGAGAACAAAACTTTTAATGGGAATGTTTAATTCTTAAAACTTATATCCAGCGCAAATTTAGAGCCAAAGATTCTATTTCCATTTTGTGAGTGTTATTTTAATAGTTACTTCAATATTTATCTATTAATAAAGTAACATTAACATAAACTTTGTGGTCTTTTAAAAAAAATACCAGAAATCTCCTAAAATCACTCAATGAAAAACGAAAATACTTGTACAATATCGCTCAAATCACAAAATTTTGAACATTACTATTGACTTTCCATATCAATATTGATCCACTAGTGTGTGTGTACATATAGACCCAGTAGCGTAAGCATGTTTACAATTGTGCAACATAAGTTCTCGAATTAGATTGTAGCTCTTGTGCTTTGCAAATCACTCGGAATCACTATAACCTACTTGGAATATTAATTATTTATACTATATAATTTTAGTTTTATCTTTTTTTATAATTCGTTAGACTTCAAAATATGTGTGTGTGTCGTAACTTGAATTTTTAAGTGTTGTTCACATAAACCACCATTGAGATTTGAGCATTAAACCTTCAAAAATTATTATTTTCTAAATAAATTTAATCTTTTGATCGAGTTTTTTTTTTTTGGGTAATTCTCTTAATAAATTATGTTGATACTTGTGATTACGTAGGGCTGGCAAATCGTGTCGACGGGTCGTGTTAGTGTCGGGTTGAAGAAATTTTTTTTTGAAAACCTCCCAACACTAACACGACCCGTGACACGACGGGTTGAGAAAACACTAATACTAACACGACCCGTCCAGACACGGATTGACACTAACACGACCCGCAATAACCCGTGAATTAGGACTCAAAATTCACCCGTATTCCTGACCCGAAATCGACCCGAACCCGTAATAGATATGTCACTTTTTTAAACAATTTGAAGCACTAAAATTACATTAAAAACACTAAAATTACGTTAAAAACAACATGAATCAGATATGTCTTCAAAATAACGTCTAACTACATACCAAAGTCCAATAAAATAACAAAGATCAATCGGATAACCAACTCCAACTAAATAATAAAGCTAGAATTATCTTCCAAGTGTTCAAGAGTTAAGAGCAACCGAGTTTGAAGCTTGAGCATTATCATTCAAGCTAAGAGAAATTACATCCTTTGTCATCTCATTCAAATCCTCAAGTAATGCCTTATCATGATCACCTAAGTTAACATCCAACAAGATTTAAAAATAATAATTTTAGAAATAGCTATAATAAAATTTACTAAACTGATTCAAAAGATAAGTGTAAAATACTTTACCTTCATTTCCAAATAACCAGTCTTTAGTACAGAGAAGTGCTTCAACAGTTTCACTCTTAAGTGAGCTTCGAAATTGATCCAACACACGACCACCATTACTAAATGCTGCCTCTGATGCAACTGTTGATACCGGGATGCTTAAGATGTCACGAGCCATCATGGCAAGAATAGGATAGCGGAATTGATTTGACTTCCAAAATGCAAGAATATCTAAAGGTGCATTCCTATTTACCCTAGGCTCATCCAAGTAAAGCTCTAATTGAGATTTTTGGGGAACATCAGAGAAGTCATCATCAACAAGATCATCAAATTCCTACATAAGATTAAAAAAAATGCTTAGACAATATAAGTACATATATGCAATATTTCAAAGTGAATAAGATTAGGGAATATATGAAATAAACATTACCTTGAGTAATTCATCTTCGATGTCAACAGCCATAGTTGGTACTGCATTATTCTTACTTTCTTTCTTTAAAACAGAAGGTGATACACCTGCACCTGTGCCTTGGTCACACTTAGCTTTATACTCTTCAAAAAGGCGCTCCAACTTGTTCCGCATTGATGCCAACTCAATTGAGTTTTCTCCATAAGCCTTCTTGTAGAAAAACTCAACAATTTGCATCTTATACCGAGGATCAAATACCAATGCTATGGATAAAATAGGGCTGAAATCTGACCAATACTTCTGAAACTTTCCCCACATTTGCCATGCCATATCCTTCAAATAACCATCTTCACTTTTCAAGGCTCCTTTCAATGTCACATAGCAGTTCATAATTTTTGGAAAATATAAGTTGGAAGTGGTGTATTTAGTGCCAAAAAATACAAGTGTTGCATCATAAAACACTTTCAAATACTTGTGAGCTTTCTCAACTTTTTCCCATTCATCACTAGAAAGGTGATGCTTGTAATTGGAATCACTTAACTCCAAATGTTGAAAAGCCCGCCTGAAAAAGAGAGCTCTATCAAGCATAAGATAAGTGAAATTCCACCTAGTCACCACATCTTGACACAATCCTTTATTCACATTCAACCGCACCAACTTCACACACTCTATAAACTTTTGCTTCCTCATTTGTGATGCTTTTACATATTTGACAGTGTCACGAATGTTTTCAACTGAGTAATCAATCCTTTTCAAACCATCTTGTACAATTAGATTCAAAATATGAGCACAACATCTCAAATGAAAAAATTCCCCATTTGAAGGCAACAAACCATCCAAATTCAATTGTGTTTGCAAGGAAACCACAGAAACATCATTTGAAGTAGCATTATCCAAAGTGATAGTAAAAATCTTTCCCTCAATACCCCAATCATCGTGTAACAAAGAATAAATCTTTTCAGATAGTGCAATCCCAGTGTGTGGAGGTGGCATATTACAAAAGTTTAATATTCTCTTTTGCAATTTCCAATTCTTGTCAACAAAGTGAGCAGTAAGACACAAATATCCATCACTAGTCAAAGAACTCCACAAATCAGATGTCAACGAAATTCTACCAGGGCATGCAATCACCATATTCTTAATCTTTGCTTTCTCCTTCTCATACATCTTAAGACAAATAGCTTTAGCAGTGTTTCTAGAGATTAATTCTACATCAGGATATAAATACTGTAGCATTGCTCTTAACCCCTTGTACTCAACAAACTGGAATGGCAAATCATGCATAATAATACAAGATGCAACCAACTCACGCCATTTTTCAGAGTCAAACTTGCAAGTATCAAGAGATAAAGTTCCACTATCACGAGAGATAAGCATTTGACCGATGTCACGAGTATCTATTTTCTTACAAGTTTTAATATGGCGACTCATATTACCTATTCCATATTTGCTTGAAGCCAGATATTGCTGGCCGCATTTCTTACAAGCACTTCGAACCTTTCCATCTGCCCCCAAAGGAAGTATGTCGAAAAATTTCCACACTTTTGACTTCAAAGTTTTTTTCAGCGGTTTCGCAGAGCTCGTATTAGCAGAGAAACTCTGTTCAACCTCAACTTCAAACACGTCATCTTCAAGGTCCACTCATATTTCACTATTACCTTCACCTTCAACATCTTCACTTACAACCTCTAAATTTACTTTCTCCATCTAAAAAAAAACAAATCCATTTAAAATTAGAATGAAATATTCTTTGATTGATAATAAATCTGTTAAAAAAAGGACAATAAAAGGAACAAATAACATCAACATACTACGAGTATCTATTTGATGAAATGTCATATGATCTAAAGCAACATCTCTTTGCTGCTGTCGTTGTCATTATAAGATAGTTATCTATATCGTTGTGTAACTAGCTTATAATGACAAATCATAGCATTTAGACAGAGGATTTAATGAGCGGAGCCACTTTAGCAAATAATCTACCAGTAAAATTAAATCTACCAACTGATTCTTCTTCGTACCAGCAAATAATCAACCAGCCTAAGAAAGAAGAAGAAGTTGCTTACCAGCCTAAGAAATTTCAAATCTACCAGCAAATTTCGTGCAATAACAGAGAATGGGGATGAGATGTTTACCTTCGAGAAGTCCAACCGTCGAGCCGTTGAGAAGGCGAAGATAATCGACCAAGGGGCCGTTGAGAGAGCCGTGAGGGGGCGGCTGAACAGTGAGGTGAGAGAGAAGAGCAAGAAGAGAGAGAAAAGAGAAGGGGCGGCTGAACCGTGAGGTGAGAGAGAAGAGCAAGAAGAGAGGAGGCGGCTGCTAGAGGAGAGAAGAAGAATGGCGTGCGTGACTGTGAGAAATGAGAAAGAAGAAATGAAAGGGGGTGAGGCTGCTGCAAATGAGGGTGAGGAGAAGGAAGAAAAGTGTGTGTGTGCGTGTGTGGGTGTGAGGGAGGATTAGGGTTTTTTCTCTTATGAGACTAAATTACTAAAAGGTCCAAAATTAAAAAAATAGTATAAAATTAATAAATTAACTAAACGGGTTAATTTAGTGTCATACGGGTTAACACTAACCCGACCCTTTTTCAGACGGGTCAATTTCGGGTTGACACTAAATTGACCCGGGGTTGATATTTTTGACACTAACCCGTAAAAAATCAAGTCGTGTTCGTGTCGTGTCGTCGTGTCGTCGTGTCGTAACCCGTATTGTCAGCCTCACTAACCCGTAAAAAATCAAGTCGTGTTCGTGTCGTGTCGTCGTGTCGTAACCCGTATTGTCAGCCCTATGATTACGCATTGTTCTTTGTTCTTTCCAACTCTACAAAGTGGCATTTGTTTTTCTTCAATGAATACCGCGTGAATTTGTTACATTTTTCCTTTCTCTTTCAGTCTTTCTATTCTTTTTTATAGACGTCGAATTTCGTGTTTATGCACCTTGATAGGACATATTTAAAAAAAAAAAAAAATTGGGATTATTCTTTTGTGCGAATTAGGAAACCTGCTCTTTTTCACTTGCTTATTCTAATTGTGTGTTGTTTTCTTACCCTTTATAAGCTGATATATAATAATATGCATGTCTAAGGTAGGGTGAGCAAATTCACCCAATCCAACGGTCTAAAATTGATCTGAGTAATTCACGTGATCCCTCTTGCACCCAATTTTAACTCAAATCTCATAAAAATAATTACAAAACAATCACATCTTGCCGCCGATACACGCGCCGCCAACCTCCACCACACGCCGACGTCCTCCGTCAACACCGCTACTACCATCGTACTCGGCGGCTGCCGATCTCCAAAACCCCGCCACTCCACGACGAATCTCAGCTCCAATTGCTGCCACTCGTCCCCAGAAATTCGCAACGAAGTATGACCAACTCGCCAATTCGCATCATCTCCGTCATCCACCGGCGCTGAACGACTCAACATCGGCCGCGTATCAAAACATATCTCAGAAACTGCTCTCGCCCTCTCTCTATCTTTCTTGGATCGACTTTTTCTCTCTCCTCACACGCATCTCTCTCTTCCTCGATAACTCTCCCTCTATTCTTACTCAGATCACTTTCTTTCTCTCCCTGCCATCTGCCCTACCGTCAAGCTTTTGGAAGATCCCGACGATGCCGGAGCGAGAGAAGTTCGCGGAGGAGGAGACGATCGCCACCTCGCTATTCCGGCTGAGGATCGCCTAGTTCTCTGATAGTCGAGATCCGCTTGCAATGGTGAAGATCTACTCGCAGATCTCCATCGAGATCTTACGACTCCGACCAGCCTGAGTGTTGCGGAGTTCGAGCTGGAGGTGGCCGTCGTCGATGGCGCTGCTCGTGTAAAAGGCGCGTGGCTGCTATGGTAGATCTAGATTTTTATTTTATTTTATTTAAATGAATGTTGTTAATATGGTACAACGTGGGTGATTCTATTTTAATTTGGTACTCCGTTATGTTTTCTAATTGTTAGATATTTTAATCAAACGGTCTTAATTAACATATCCTATTGATAGGGTGAATTTACTCACCCTACCATAGACTTTCGCTATAATAATTAGAAAAAAAGTGATAACATAAATCTCATATGGCTTGAAATGGACATAACACTTTGTTATGTCCTTTTAATGAGGTGGCATCCCTTAAATTCTCTCTTTATTTTTCTTAAAAAAAATTTGGATTTAGTAAGGGAGACATACATAAATATCACTCTTAATATATCTCATCTTTACATTTATGTCACCTAATGATATAAAGTTAACATTTACGTTATTTAGCTGACCATAAAATATCTTGATAGGACACATTAAAAATCCTATCATATTATCTTTAACTGGTCAAACATCTTCATTGAGTATTTTGGTAGTATAAAATATTTTTTTAATCAATAAAGTTGACATAAGTTTTTTATAATTAAAATCGCAGTACTTATAGAAAATGATCAACTTTTAACCTCCATGTTTAGAATGTGTTTTTAATTTAACAATATCATCAATTTATCTATTTTATAATTATTAAGATAATATTACTTTATATGTATCATTTTTTATATGGGCGGTTATGAATTTGTATACCTCAATTTTATGGGTGGTTAACAAAGAGTAAAAATATCATTACAAATTATTTTATGAATTTGTATACCTCAATTTTATGGGTGGTTAACAAAAAGTAAAAATATTATTACATATTATTTTATAAACTTGTGTAAAAATGTTACAACTTATGGACATTCATTTTTCATCCCCTACATAATGGATATATATGTAATTAGCTCTAACTACCAATCCCTTAGAAGAAAAAAAAAAGGAAAATAGTAGAGAATATGTCAATTTTAAAACCTTAAGGAAGCATATAGGCCAATTTTTAGTTTTGAAAATTAATAGGCCATAATTTTTAAATTTCCAAATTTACCCTTTTTTTCTTTGTTTCTTTCGATCGTCTCTGTCTTTCTCTCTCTCTCTCTGTCCCAGATCTCTCTCTCTCTCTCTAGCTTCTCGCATCTCTCTCTCTCTCGTAACTGTGCTCGGATTTTGTCTCTCGTCGGTGGATCGTCGGCGGATCATCGGTTTTCCATTTGCTCGTCAGTGAATCATCAGTGGATCAACAGGTTCGTCGGTCGGTAGTTATTGTTCTCGTTTGGATTTGAGCAGCTGTTCCGGTGCTTTACCAGGTTCTAGTTTTTTTTTTTTTTTGTATTTTCGTTTTCATATTTTGCATTTTTTCGGTTTGTTTTCTTTCTTTGTCCGTTAATCCTTTATTTTTTGCTGTTTTTCGGTCGATTTTTATGGAACAACATGTTTGGGCATTCTTCGTTTCTATTTTTTTTTTTTGTAATTTCATTTTTGTTGTAATTTCGTTTTCCGGTCGATTCTTCGTTTTGCATTTTTGTTGGTTTTTTTCGGTTTGTTTTCAATTTGTTTCAGTCATGACAGTTTTTGTATAACTTGTGCGGTTATGGAACATAACTAGACGAGTTATGGTCCATAATTGAGAGGTTTTTTTTATATAACTTGTCCGGTTATGCACTTTAACGTGACAGTGTTCCTGCAATATGTTTGTAGGCATGCAATCTGTTTCAGTCATTGTTGCTTATAGGGGAAAATGGAGTCTAGAAAACCAATATACAAATTTTGGTTTTCAATCAGTTTTTATTCCAGAGGATCCTTCTTTGAAGTTTTTACAGGAGTGTTTATGTGAGGAGCTGAATCTTGAGTTGTTTGGTTTTAATGCTGGTGTTCATTCTTTATTACTTTTTATGGGAAGGAAGTTGAAGGACCCAATTGAAATTGTTTCGGACCTTAAGAGGGATGATGATGTTAAGTTGTTTTTAAACTTGGTTCAACACAGTAAGGAAGCTCTTGGGATCCCGTTGGTAATAGATTTTGTTAGTGGCTCCGTTAGTGTAGTGGGATCTATTTCTTCTTCCTCTTGTTTTATTAGTTCAAGAGATGAGGCGTCATCTTCTAATGTTGATGGTTCCGTTTGTCAATTTGAAGATGATATTGATGTTGCGATGAATAATTTTTTGATTGAAGATTTGGATATTTCAAAGTTACCTATGTCGTTTGATGTGAATGTAGGCAATCAATTCATGAGCAAGTCGTTTCTTAAGAAATTCATGCATGTAATTGCTATTAGGAGGCATTTTGAATTTAAATCTGAAAGATCTAATAATTCATTTTATGTTTTGGTTTGTAAAAATAAGAGTTGTACTTGGAAGATGCGTGCTGCTAAGGTTTCAAATGGTAATGTTTAGGCAGTGAAGAAGTATATTAAGGAACATTCTTGTTCACTTGATGTTGCTAGTGCTGAGCATCGTCAAGCAAATAGTCGTGTTATTTCATAGTTTTTAAAGGGCGATTTTAGCATTGGGCTTGCAGACCGTTTGCGTCCTAATGATTTACGGTATATAATGCATGGTAAGCATGGTGTTGAGATTAGTTACTACAAAGCGCGAATGGCTCGCCGATATGCGTTAGCATCAATGAGAGGAAGTGCAGTGGAGTCGTATGCATCCCTTCCTTTCTGTGCAATGTTTTCAAGGAGAGTAAACCAGGTGATTTTTATTTTTATGTGTTATGCTTATGGTTTTGTCTATTTGTACAGTATATGCATGATATAGTTATTAGTTACATACCATTTATATGTAACGTGGGTTATTTTAAATGTTTAATTCACTGACAAGAGTTTAATTTCTCTGTGACTAATAGTTATTTTAAATTTTTTTTTGTTTTTTCTTTGTAGGATCTGTGACTTCTTATGAGCTTGACAATGATGGGCGGTTCAAGTATTTTTTTTTGTGCTTGGGGGCTTCTATTCATGGTAGGCGCCATTGTAGGCCTGTGATCTCAGTTGATGGCACTTTTTTGAAGAATGAGTTTTCTGGGACCTTGCTTCTCTCTGCAGTTTTAGATGCTAATAATCATATTTTTCCGCTTGGTTTTGCAATTGTTGATTTGGAGAATGACTCCTCGTGGGAATGGCTTTTTGAAAGGCTTAAGGAGGCCATCGGAACTCGTGAAGTGCTTGTTATTGTTTCTGACCGAAAGAGTAGTATCCCTAAAGCAGTTGAGAAGGTATTTCCAGATGCATCTCATGGATTTTGTATGCACCATCTACTTAGAAATTTGAATTCAAATTTTAAAGGTGTGCATGTGGATGCTATATTCTATTGTTGTGCCAAGGCATACCCTAAGGAAGTCTTTGGTTACTTCATGCGTCAATTGGAGGCAATTCGACCAGCTATTCAAAATTATTTGCTGCAAGTAGGGGTTGAAAAGTGGGCACGTGCTCACTTTGAGAGGAAGAGATATGATGTCATGACGACTAATATCTCCGAGTCGTTGAATAATGTCTTAGTGAATGCTAGGGAGTATCCTGTTAAAGCTTTAATTGAGCATTTCAGATCCTTCTTGCAAAGATGGTTTTATGAGCGTCGTAATAAGGCGGATCAGACTTTTACATACTTGAGTAAACATGCAACTAAATGCCTTCGTGATAGGGAAAAGATTGCACGTTGCTTATCTGTAAGTTGCTTTTCTTTCAATTATTTACTTTTTTTTTGTTTCATTATTTTGGTTATGTTTTTGATGTGATCTTTTTTGTGATTCTTTTGGTTTTTTTTTTTTTTGAAGTTATTCTATTGTTTTTTGAATGCTCTGTTTTCTTTTCTTTTTGTCATGTTTTCAGGTTCAACCCATTGATATCAATAAGTATTATGTTGTTGATGGTTTAGTTGGTGAGATGGTTGACTTGGTAGCAAGAACATGTAGTTGTCTTGTTTGGAAAGCTGATGAATTTTCATGTCCACATGCTATTGCATCGATTTGGAAAAGAAATCTTGATCCAGCACATTTTACTTCCTACGATTACACCAACAATGCATTCAAAGCAACATATGATGCTGCAATCTATCCTATTACTAATAGATCAAAGTGGCAAATTTCAGAGGGCAGTGAGGTGGAGGTTGTTCTTCCTCATAAGTTTAAACGTGGTGCTAGGAGGCCAAGGAAGCAAAGAATTCTTTCTAGTGGAGAACGAGAGAAGCAATCTGTGAAGTGTAGTCGATGCAAGCAAGTTGGCCACAATAGGAAGACTTGTCCAAACCCCACATTTGTTGATATGAACTGATCATCATGGTCTAAGTTGATTTTTTGTCTTTATGTTATAAGTTAGAATTGAATGATTTGAAGGAAAAATATTCAAATTTTTTTAATAATAAAAGAAATCCTTGCATTTAATAGTTAAAAAAAAACTGTGATTTATGGATTATTGTCTAATTTGATAGGTTTTTGTGCATAACTTGTTAAGTTATGGACCATACTTGTGCTGTTATGGAGCATTACTTAATAGGTTATGACCATAATTTACAGATTTTATTTGGTTATATTTTAAAAACCGTATCCCAGATTTTTTTTACTCAGTTTTTGTGCATAACTTGTCAAGTTATTGACCATAAGTTGACAGGTTATGGTCCATAATTTACAGATTTTTTATTCGGTTATATTTTGAAAACCGTATCTCTGATTTTTTTACTCAGTTTTTTGTACATAACTTGTAAAGTTATGGACCATAACTTGACGGGTTATGGTCCATAATTTACAGATTTTTTATTCGGTTACCGTATCTCAGATTTTTTTACTCGGGTTTTGTGCATAACTTGTAAAGTTATGGACCATAACTTGATAGGTTATGGTCCATAATTTACAGATTTTTTATTCGGTTACCGTATCTCAGATTTTTTTACTCGGGTTTTGTGCATAACTTGTAAAGTTATGGACCATAACTTGATAGGTTATGGTCCATAATTTACAGATTTTTTATTCGGTTATATTTTAAAAACCGTATATCAGATTTTTTTACTCGGTTGTTGTGCATAACTTGTGCCTTCTGTTTTCTCTCTTTAAGACAGTTATTTCTTTCCAAGATTTCTTTCTTTCCACCGGCGATCTCCTCCGATTTTTTAGGTTTTTGTTTCCGTTCTTCTTCGGCGATCTGTCTTTCTTCCCTCCGTCCGTCTACTGCGATTTCTTTCTCCTAGCTTTGCAACTCTATCTATCATCGCTGACAGTGTGCATTCTTTGACAGGTTTTTTTTTTGGTATGATTTTTTTTTTCGCGTTCCTTTGGTTTTTTTTTTCTTTCTCTGATCTTGTGATTCTATATATTATTGTTTAAGATATGGCGAAAACACAAAGCAAGAGGAAGGACAATGTTTCTGTTTCTACTCCGAGTAAACGCTCGAAGGTTATGAACAAGAAAATTGCTATGGAGAAAAAAAGTTCCGAAGAAGTTGCTCATCCTTCTCCCACTCGTAACACTTTAGAGGTATTTTGATTAATTTTTTCAACTTAGTTTATAGATTTTCGAATTTAGGATATGGAATTTGTTGTTGTTTTTTTTTTTTTTTTTTTGTGTTTTGATTGTGTATTTTTAGGTTTATCCTCATATTGTTTTTCTTCGTTTTTTTTTTTCATTTTTACAATCTTGGAAGTATCGTATTAATCCTGACAAGAGATTTCGAGGCCAGGTTAATATAACATCCTCTTTTGCTGTTATAGAGGAATTAAACAAAAAGTTTTCTGAAAGTCAGAAAGATTTGTTCAGAAGAACAATTTTTGGTCGGTTTTTGGATTTGGTAAAGTACATTACCAGTGTCAGCTGATACACGAGTTACTGTTTCATGTGGTTCACAATCCAAATACAAATGAGCTATGGTTCAAGTTTTGTGATTCTTTTACTAAGTTTTCTGTTGAGGAGTTTGCATTAATTTCTGGTTTAAAGTGCTCAGGACATGTAAACTTCTCAAGTTATGTAAATTCATCTGATTTTTCTAGACGTACCAAATATTTCAAGGATCATTGTACAGGGCTTGTAAAGAGGGCTACTATTAAGAACTGTTTTGAGTCTGTTCATTTTGATAGTGATGATGAAGCAGTCAAAATGGGTTGGTTATATTTTGTGTCACTTTTTCTTTTAGCTAAGCCCAAGGACGTGGGGGTTGATGATGATTTGATTAGAATTGTTGCTAGCCCTAACTTTAACGATTTTCCTTGGGGTATATTTTCTTTTAATTTACTTTTTGCAAGTCTGAAATCTGGTATTGAGACTTTGTACAAGCACGATGATAAGGTTCTATTTCGAAATGAGAAGAGACGCATAAATGGATATAAGATCAATGGTTTGGCCTTTGCTTTTCAAGTTTGGGCTTATGAATGTCTACCACACCTTGGTGGTATTTGTGCACTGAAAAAGTTAATTGATGAGCCTATTCCCTGAATTTTCAAATGGTCAACGGATGAAAATTATTCGAAGAAGCCATTTGATGTGTTGAACAGCAAAATTGGCCAGGTTAGACTTCTGTTTTGGTAGTTTTTTTATAGTAAATTTTCATGTTTGAATGTTTTTATTAATATTTGTTGCTTATTTTTTGTTTTAATGTTTTTATTTTTTATTTTCAGTTATCTTGTTTTTCAATGGAACCAATTGAATCAGAGCGTCTCTTCAATCATCTTGACGGTTTTTTTCAGAAGTCGGCAAAGGATGTTCCGGCTTCTAGTAGCTGTGACTTGAAGGAGGATGATAAAGATTTTGAAACTGTCCCTCCTCCATTTATCCCTCCTCCAAAAAATCAGGTTTGTTTAGTTTTGTTTTTGTTCATTTTTCAATTTACAATTGGAACTGTAAGGTTGTTTTCTGAAAATCAAGTTATGTGAAAATCAGGTTTTGTTTTGACATGTTATCCTCCATAACGTGTCAGGTTATGGTCCATTAACTTTTCTGGTTATGAACCATAACTTGACAAGTTATTGTCCATAATTCAGATTTTTTTGTCCATAATTCACGGTTATTGTCCATAACTTGTCTGGTTATGAACCATAACTTGACGAGTTATTGTCCATAAATCAGAGTTTTTGTCCATAAATTGACAAGTTTTTCACATAACTTGATTGGTTATGTTCCATAGCTTGATGTGTTGTGTTTGTCATTATGATTTGACTTTTTTCATTTTGTTATCTTTTGCATTTTTTAGGGTGCTTTTGATAATTCTGAAGTTTTAGCGCGCATTGCTTCCTTGGAGGCCAAAACTGATAATTTGGTTGTTGAAGTTTCTTCCCTTCGAAGAGATTTCAAAAAACAAATTTTTTTTACGGTTCAATTGATTGGTGAAAAGTTTGACAATGCATTTTCTTCTAAGAAGAACAAGAAAACGGAGGAAGAACAAGCATTTGAAGAAAAAAAGGAAGAAGAAGAAGTTGAAGAAATAAAGGAAGAAGTAATTGAAGAAGCAGTTGCAGAGAAAGAATATGACAAAGTGGATGTTTCTTCTAAAAAAATTGAAGATACAATTGCTTTAGTTTTGAGGGATCTTGTTCATGAAGCTGCCCAGGAAGGCGATAAATGTTCCAATCAAAGGATTATTTTGTATGATGAGGCAGCAGCATCACAAGAACCTATTAAATGTATAGATGAACGATTTTTATGTTTTTGTCCATTCTCTGAAATTGTTGACGGTGATGCATCAGAGGAGGACAAGGCAAGATTCCTATCATGGTATAAAAGTAATATGATCTCAAGAAAAGCGTGGGGACTGGCCAGCGATGCATATATGATAAAGCCTCCTTTTGATTTTAAAGTTGACACCGTTGATTCAAAACATTGGTTTCAAACTTTATGGACATCAAAGTGTTGGCTAACTGACTCGGTAAGATTCTTCCTTTTTTTTTAATTTTACGCATGATTTTTTTTTATTTTGTAACAAATCTGATATTTTTTTTTTTGTTTTGATAGCATGTTGATGTAGCCACATATTATTTGCGGAAAAAGATGGTGTGTTACAAAAACAGGCCATACATTAGGTGTTTGGTTTTGGACTCACATTTTTACATGAGAATTAGTGGCTTATGGTGCTCTAAAAACCATAAGGATTTTGATTGGTCTCGTTTTGATTTCTCTTCACATAGTGCTCTTCAAGATTATGTGTTGGGAGATTATTTATTTTGTAGCTTGCCTTTTTGTCAGGTGGACATTCTTCTTGTACCTATTTTTCTTGAGCGTAGGCAGCATTGGATTTTAGGTTATGTAGAGTTCAAAGATCATTGTATTAGGTTGTATGATTCTCTTTTTTCAAAGAGGATAGAGAAGCAAATCCGTGCTTCTGTGCAATCTTTGGCAGTCATTCTCCCCCACTTGCTGGAATCTGTTGGCTACTTTGAGTCTCATGCGAAAAAGTATTTCACAAGTCAATTTCATCGTCTTGAACCTTTTGAGATCATATTTGACGATTGTCCAAGACAAGAGAACGGGTTAGTTTTTTTTATCTTTAAATGTTTTGTTATTTTCCCTTCATTCATTTTTGCATTTATATTTGTTGTTTCTAATTGTTAGATTTTTGGTGGTTGTTTTTTGTAGTGGTGATTGTGGAATTTTTATGCTCAAGATGGCTGAGATATTAATGGAAGCCGGATCTGATGATTGTTTGAGAGAAGAAGGGGCTGGAACATTGTTCCGCAAGAAGATGGCAGTTGAGTTGTTCAAGCATGGCTTACGGAAGCAGCAATTGGGATATGAAAGTGATGATAACAGGGCCCCAAATGCCCCAAAAATGAATTTTATGACGCCAACAGATGCCATTGAATGCGACTTGGATGATTATATGGATTAACTTGTTGGTTTTCAGATTCGTTTTTTATTTCTAGTTGTGGTACATATTATATTGGTTTTTAACTTGTTGATGATTATATGGATTAACCTGTTAGTTTTCAGATTCGTGTTTTATTTCTAGTTGTGGTACATATTATATTAGTTTTTTTAACTTGTTCATGATTATATGAATTAACTTGTTGGTTTTCAGATTCGTGTTTTATTTCTAGTTGTGGTACATATTATATTGGTTTTTAATTTTAATTAGTAAACAAGTTTCAAGTTATTTTGCATATTTTTATATGTAATTCTCGAACATAACTTGTCTGGTTATGACAAGTTATTGACCTAATTCAGAGTTTTTATCTACAACTTGTACTGTTATACACAATAAGTTGACTGTTTATGGTACATTATTGAAATTTTTTTCATAACTCGTCCGGATATGTATCATAATTTGACGGGTTATGGTGCAAATTTGATATTTTT